ATATCACTGCCTATATAAATTGGCAACAAGTATTTTGGAAGCATTATTAATGTGCGTGAAGGATTGACAGAACGCTCATTTTCAACTACAAGATAAATTTTAATTTGTCGAAATTACATGTCGTTAGAGAAGTCATAAGTGATATTTAATATAATTTTAATCATATTTATCAGAATTTGTTATTTTGTTATACCTTTTTTTTTTAAATTGTACACGTTACAACCTACAAGTCGTTCATGTATAATTTTTAACTCAGCATACTCAAAATTTAAGTAAACAGTTCCAAATCCAAATAAAGGGGGAGGGTTTGTATATTTGTATTTTTTTATCTCTTTAAATTTTAAAAAGTTGAAAATCGACGAGCTCGCCCCTCAAGTAACGAGCCACGAGCTCGACTCGATCCATTGTCACCGCTAATTAGTTTTTCTAATTGATAGGCCAATTGAGAAAATTGTTGTAAGGACCATTTTAAAGTTTCTTACAAACTTAAGTGATCCATTGGTGAAATTAATTGCAGAAAAAGGATTATGAATTTTATAGCGCTATAGAACCCTAAGCATTTGCGAAAACCACAGTTGAATTTTGAGCTGATCACCAAAGCACCGAAATGTACGGAGCAGAACCTGTGAATGAAGAATCCGAGCGAACTGCTTTTCGTAAAGCCGAGAAGAAGTACAAAATTTATTACGAGAACGCCAAAAAGCACGTATTTTTAACCTGCAATTTTGATTCTATTCAAAAATTTGCCCTATTTTTTTTTTTTTTAAATCCATATCCGTTAATTTTTTTGTATGACTGGGTTTATATAATTGCAGGAAGAAGATACCGAGATCAGTTGATTTATCGGAGGTTATTGATTTCAGATCTATTTTAGAGTCGTTTAAAGGTGGTGGTGATCTTCCTGAGGGCGTTTTCGAACTTAAATGTGATTTTAACCAACCTGTTTTTGGCCTAGTAAGTCGTCCTGGTACGTTGAACTCGAATATTTACAGTTCTTAATTCCAATTATACCTATATCTGTAATTGCTTTGAACCAACTTAGTGCCATGTGAAAAGATTTCAAATTATTAGGATCAGTTGAGTGAATGGAGATTAAGTTCTTAATAGTTATCTTTCTTAACAAAAAATATAAAGACGTGAAGTTTCTATAAGAGCAACAAGCAATGCGGTAATTTTCTAAATTAATGCTACAGAAAAGACACAAGAAAGAATGTGCACTTGACAATACGTTTTGTGTGCAAATGCAGGTTTTTATTTTATCCCTGCAGCATTAAGCATTGAGGAACAATGCCATTGGATAAGGGAAAGTTTAACAAGCTTTCCTCAACCCCCTAATAGAACAAACCACAATGCAATTTATGGGCCTTTACAGGATTTATTTTTGGCGGCCAAAGAAGGAAAAGTTTTGATTGAAGAGGATAGACTGGCTGAAAACATTATTTCTGAGGCTAATCTAGATCAAAGCAATGTAAACACCCCCCGTTGGAAATATATCAAAGAACTTGATGAATCATTTAGTAGAGATGCTGGCAAATCAGTATCAGCTTCTGTTTTGTTGCGCAAGTTACGGTGGAGCACCCTTGGCCTGCAATTTGACTGGTCAAAGGTCTTGCTAAATTCCTTCTTGTGATAGTTCAATTGATTGCTTTATGTTTTTATCACTACATATTAGCAACCCAATATACGATATTGAATGGGATACCAAATGTACATCATGTTGTCTTTGAAAGCACGTTGGCTAAACCTTATGAGGTTATTGGTTTATGGATGCTGTGACAAACTTGTATCAGATTCTGCCTTTTCCATTGCACTGTCTTCTTATTGTTCGTGGAAACTTACACCGCACTTTAGTTCTTAAGCAAGTATTTTACACATTTATGCAGCGGAGTTACAATATTGCTCTTCCTCACAAGAAGATACCTGATAAACTTTGTATGTTGGCGAAAAGGATGGCAGCACCTGCAATGCCATGCAGTGAAGAATTCCATCCTGAAGCTGCTATAGTTAATTACTTTGGGTTGGGTATGCCTTAAATTTATTAGCGATCTTACGAAATTTGACTTGTGATTCAATCTTAACTATGGTGCTGCTTAAATTTTGTACTGCAGTTGGATGTATGTTAAAAGGAGCTTATATACCTAATTTTTTTGTACCCTCAAAATCACATGACTTGCGCGATTATCTTACAATTTGATCCTTGCTACTGAATAAAATCACTTGGATTACGAATCAGCGTGAATGTTGTACTTTACTTCTTATTATCCAAAAAACTTCTTACAATTCACTTGGCTCACTCACGTTGCCTCAAACTAAACATTGAACATTTTTTTAGCCATATTCAGAAAACTTCTCCTCGTTTTGATAATTTTGTTTCATACACACACACACACACACATATACACACATACATACATATATATATACATATATATACATACATACATTCTTACTGATTCTAGGAACTCAAACTGTTAGTCTCTCTGGCCCAAAATATACTTCTTTCCGATTTTGCTGTGAGTAGCAATTATTTTGCTTAATATAAATTTATTCTTCTGTCCAGTTTGTTCTTTTACATGTAAAAAGTTTGTTGTGATGCTTCTTGCAGTTTGTATCAAATCTTAGGATTTAATTCGATTTACTAATTGCTGAAGATTTGATTTATAATTTTCATGCGGAAACAATAATGGTAATTGTTGTCATTCTTTTCAGGTGATATGCTTGGCGGGCACCTTGATGACATGGAAAAAGATTGGAGTAAACCTATTGTAAGCATTAGGTATGATTCTATCAAATGCTCAATGTTTTTTCTCCTGTCTATGTCATTCTGCTTAATATGCTGAAGTAAGAAGATTTTTGGCATCATCAGTTTGGGTTGCAAAGCTATTTTCCTTCTCGGGGGTAAATCTAGGGATCATACACCCATTGCCATGTTCCTCCAAAGCGGTGATGCAGTTCTTATGGCTGGAGAAGCAAGGGAGTGTTTCCACGGTGAGTAGGCTGATATTCAGTTTCCACTCTTCCTCAAGTGGATCTTAACACAAAATGCCAGAATTTGTCAAAATAAATTTGTATTTATCAAGAAATTGATGCTATCATTACCTAATTTTCATTTTGCAGGTGTGCCTAGGATATTCACTGACCCAGAAAATGCTGAGATAGGCACCCTTGAATCACAGTTTTCAGATGAAAACAACCTCCCTTTCTTGGATTACATTCGGACTTCGAGAATCAACATCAATATTAGACAGGTTTTCTGAATTTTGCTTTCTCATCATTATTTTATGTAGAGGGAAGGAGAAATTTTTTTTGAAAGGAATGTTCTGTGTACAATTAGTATTCTAGTTGTTTACTCATTACAGCAGAGCTGCCACCAAGTCCTTCCACATTGTTGAAACTGGTTTCCCATTACTAATTGTTTGTCGACCTTCAAAATTATGAGAAAAATAGTGTATTTGACATTGTTGACAACGGAGCTTGCTAAAAACTGACATTGTTGACCTTCAAAATTTGATACTTTTAACATGACTTTTTATTATTTCATTTTCTGTATCCAAAGATGGTTAAGTTCCCAAAAAAATAAAAAAAATCCAGTTCGATTGTTTTTGCTCCCTTACCTTCAATGCACAAGTTATATTGTAATGTTGAATGGCCTTTGAGCCTTGTCATAATTTAGTGCTTCAGACGAATGAAAGATTTATCTGCTGAATTGTATTTTATGATTTCTCCAAGGCATTTGTATTTTTTATCAACTGCATTAGCCCCTTGAACTCTGCTATTTGTATACTGATTTTTTACAGGTTGTTTTAATCTAGATCAAAGCAATGTAAACACCCCCCGTTGGAAATATATCAAAGAACTTGATGAATCATTTAGTAGAGATGCTGGCAAATCAGTATCAGCTTCTGTTTTGTTGCGCAAGTTACGGTGGAGCACCCTTGGCCTGCAATTTGACTGGTCAAAGGTCTTGCTAAATTCCTTCTTGTGATAGTTCAATTGATTGCTTTATGTTTTTATCACTACATATTAGCAACCCAATATACGATATTGAATGGGATACCAAATGTACATCATGTTGTCTTTGAAAGCACGTTGGCTAAACCTTATGAGGTTATTGGTTTATGGATGCTGTGACAAACTTGTATCAGATTCTGCCTTTTCCATTGCACTGTCTTCTTATTGTTCGTGGAAACTTACACCGCACTTTAGTTCTTAAGCAAGTATTTTACACATTTATGCAGCGGAGTTACAATATTGCTCTTCCTCACAAGAAGATACCTGATAAACTTTGTATGTTGGCGAAAAGGATGGCAGCACCTGCAATGCCATGCAGTGAAGAATTCCATCCTGAAGCTGCTATAGTTAATTACTTTGGGTTGGGTATGCCTTAAATTTATTAGCGATCTTACGAAATTTGACTTGTGATTCAATCTTAACTATGGTGCTGCTTAAATTTTGTACTGCAGTTGGATGTATGTTAAAAGGAGCTTATATACCTAATTTTTTTGTACCCTCAAAATCACATGACTTGCGCGATTATCTTACAATTTGATCCTTGCTACTGAATAAAATCACTTGGATTACGAATCAGCGTGAATGTTGTACTTTACTTCTTATTATCCAAAAAACTTCTTACAATTCACTTGGCTCACTCACGTTGCCTCAAACTAAACATTGAGCATTTTTTTAGCCATATTCAGAAAACTTCTCCTCGTTTTGATAATTTTGTTTCATACACACACACACACACACACACACACACATATATACACATACATACATATATATATATACATATATATACATACATACATTCTTACTGATTCTAGGAACTCAAACTGTTAGTCTCTCTGGCCCAAAATATACTTCTTTCCGATTTTGCTGTGAGTAGCAATTATTTTGCTTAATATAAATTTATTCTTCTGTCCAGTTTGTTCTTTTACATGTAAAAAGTTTGTTGTGATGCTTCTTGCAGTTTGTATCAAATCTTAGGATTTAATTCGATTTACTAATTGCTGAAGATTTGATTTATAATTTTCATGCGGAAACAATAATGGTAATTGTTGTCATTCTTTTCAGGTGATATGCTTGGCGGGCACCTTGATGACATGGAAAAAGATTGGAGTAAACCTATTGTAAGCATTAGGTATGATTCTATCAAATGCTCAATGTTTTTTCTCCTGTCTATGTCATTCTGCTTAATATGCTGAAGTAAGAAGATTTTTGGCATCATCAGTTTGGGTTGCAAAGCTATTTTCCTTCTCGGGGGTAAATCTAGGGATCATACACCCATTGCCATGTTCCTCCAAAGCGGTGATGCAGTTCTTATGGCTGGAGAAGCAAGGGAGTGTTTCCACGGTGAGTAGGCTGATATTCAGTTTCCACTCTTCCTCAAGTGGATCTTAACACAAAATGCCAGAATTTGTCAAAATAAATTTGTATTTATCAAGAAATTGATGCTATCATTACCTAATTTTCATTTTGCAGGTGTGCCTAGGATATTCACTGACCCAGAAAATGCTGAGATAGGCACCCTTGAATCACAGTTTTCAGATGAAAACAACCTCCCTTTCTTGGATTACATTCGGACTTCGAGAATCAACATCAATATTAGACAGGTTTTCTGAATTTTGCTTTCTCGTCATTATTTTATGTAGAGGGAAGGAGAAATTTTTTTTGAAAGGAATGTTCTGTGTACAATTAGTATTCTAGTTGTTTACTCATTACAGCAGAGCTGCCACCAAGTCCTTCCACATTGTTGAAACTGGTTTCCCATTACTAATTGTTTGTCGACCTTCAAAATTATGAGAAAAATAGTGTATTTGACATTGTTGACAACGGAGCTTGCTAAAAACTGACATTGTTGACCTTCAAAATTTGATACTTTTAACATGACTTTTTATTATTTCATTTTCTGTATCCAAAGATGGTTAAGTTCCCAAAAAAATAAAAAAAATCCAGTTCGATTGTTTTTGCTCCCTTACCTTCAATGCACAAGTTATATTGTAATGTTGAATGGCCTTTGAGCCTTGTCATAATTTAGTGCTTCAGACGAATGAAAGATTTATCTGCTGAATTGTATTTTATGATTTCTCCAAGGCATTTGTATTTTTTATGAACTGCATTAGCCCCTTGAACTCTGCTATTTGTATACTGATTTTTTACGTTTTGATTGACACTTGCATTGTTGTTAAGTGTCAATTGGATGAAAAAACTGTTTGCAATTTAAACTGTCCAATAGGATAATGACACGTGACAAAGTGTCTAAAGTGTACATCATAGCATACATGTAGCAAAGTTCCTCTTAGTCCTTGTTTGGCAGAGATTTTTTAAGATTTAATTTGTCAAAGTGATCCTTTTTTTTTTTTAAAGAATGTGGGGTTAAAATGTAGGAAAAGAAATTATGGGTTTATGTACTAATTATTTTAATGGAAGAATGCGATTGAAAATAAGTTTAAGGAAAAATGAGTTTTTGAAAATGGAGGCCAAACATGGAGGAAAGTTTCCACTTTGATTACTTCTGTTCAGTTATGGTTTGTTTGTTTGTTTTGTTTGATTTTATTTTATATTTTTATTTAACTCGACAATCAACAGTGTGGGCTGTTGGATTCTACTTCTCACCGTACAAATGGATGTAATTTACGTAGTTGGAACAAGAAAAGTAATCGAAGTGGAAATTTTGATTAAGAACTTGTTTGAGAGTGATTTTGAGAATTGATTTTTTGACTGTTAGGAGAAAAGTGAGGTCTACATGTGAGAGAAGTCAAATATGACGGTTGAAATAGTGAAATAACGGTCAAAAAATCAATTTTTTGGGTGAAAAAATCGTTCCCAAACAGGCCCTAAGATGGACGTGGTTGGGCAAGAATGAATAATATATAAATTAGTCTTTGTTTGCGATATTATTTGAAGTAAAAAATGATTTTATTTTATTTTTTAATTGAGAACGTGCAATTCGAATGTATGAAAAAACTACTAGTTCACATGCACTCTTATTTTATTTAAAGAATGTTTAGTTGAAAAAAAATTTAAGAAAAAATAATTTTAAAATAAGTTGTGCAACATAAACTAAAGCTATTAACATAACAACAATTAGAATGGAAAAAAAAAAAAAAAAGAAATTTATATAATAAAAGTTCATTCAAGTTTACCAAGAATGAGAATAATTAGAATTGAAAAAAGGAATTTATATGACTAAAGTCTATTCACATTTATTGAAACAATGAATTTTGAAAAATTAAAGTCACAATTGACCTTCTCTCCTTATACCATTTATTGGTAGGTTTTTTTTTTTTTTTTAAAACCATATTTATATCTACAACTTTTCACTAATTAGCATATCGTATCTTGACGACAATGTCTATCAAATTATTCTATTTGCGTGTCTTGAAATGAGAAAATTTTAATTTTTGTATTTATTTTTTATAAAGTTGTAAAGGGAAAAAAAATCACATTTTTACGAACTTAAAAATGGAAAATGTTATTAGAGATAAGTACGTTAAATTAATAGAAGATTTAAGATTATATATATATACATGATGAAGGAAAGTTGAGAATGTTAGGGTGTGTTTGATTAGTATGGAAAATATCATCTAGAAAAGAAAATATTTTCCATCCTTTGTGGAAAATAAAAATCACATCTACCCAAAGAAAATGTTTTCCTTAAAAATAAGGAAAATTAGGCATATTTTCAAAATTTTGGAAAATGTTTTCCATGGAAAAAAATAGCAATCAAACATTCTAAGTAGGAATTTGGGTGAAAAATTGATATTTTCCATGAAAAATTAATGTAATCAAACACACCCTTAACGTTACAATGAGAAAATATAAGGACCTTAAATGAAATTAAAATGTTATGCAATTTTTATCCTTTTTGATCGCGAGGATGCTGTTTCTAATTGGCGAAATCGTACTCTGGTGTCCGTTTACCCTCTTAGTCAGTAGTAGTCTGGTAAATCACTTTACAATTTCTCATTTTCTCTAACAGATTTCCACGTTTGCGTTTGATTAGAACATTCATGCCATTTTATGCCCAATTTGTTTGCATTCTTGTATGTCTCCGAATCTAGGGTTTCGCTCTTATAATTGAATTTAAATCTGAATTATCACAAAATATGTTATCTCTTGTTGCAATATTGTAATTTCAATTTAATTCTGTCACTTGGAGATTGACTCAAATTTTAGTTAATTTAAGATTTTTATTTTATTTTTTATTTTATTTTTCATTTTGCTTTCTTTAGTTTTAGAACAGGGGATGGGATTTATAAAGGAGTTTGCCGAGAATTTGATACTCCGGCTGATGGAGGATCCGAAGGAGAGGGATAGGAAGTTCAGGGAGCATTTATATAATTTGAAGGATAGGTGCCAGAAGACCAAGGAAATGTGGAGCTTGCCCCTGCGTCCCTATGGTTTCTGGACATTTGATCGCCACAATGCTCAGATTTTCTGGGATTCCCAGATCAGTCAAGTCCCAGGTCGTCGAGACCCCTATGATGACCTTCTCCAGGATCCCAATGTCCACACCAGTACTTCCTTTTCCCCCAAATGATTTGTGAGTTTTTTACTATTCTTGAATGTTGTCATATTGGAGTATGGACACCCCCATTTTTTTCGCAGACTTAAGTGTTATATTCTCTGTTGATACATTTTTAGTTCTTATGTGATAGTTGAAACCCTTTTCTCGGTGTGAAGAATCAAAAGTTGTTTTGATGCTGATTATAGTGAGCTCTTTCTTTTTAGAAGACCAAGATATAGTTTTTTTTTTTTTGCCGTTTGTATGTTGAAACTCACTCTTTTCGCACATCTCGAGTCTGTTATATTCTCTGGTAATATTTGTTCTTATCAGATAATTGAAACCCTTTTCTCGGTGTGAGACTGAATTTGAAGGTGTTTATGGTGATTTCGTCTTTTTGAGAGGGACCGCAATATGGTATTATTGTTTATTGGTTTGTATGTTAAAATTCTCTTCATTCGCACGCCTTAAGCTTTTTCTATTTGAAATCTTCTCACATAATTTGATCCGAGGAGCATTATGACCGCTTAAAACTGGTGAAAGGAAAAAGAAATGAGAAATTGGGCCCATTTATACCAAATTTAGAGTCGCAGGAAATCCACATCATAATGCCTATAGGAAAGCAAAATGAACTGATGTTGATGTCAGTTGTATTTTTATTTAGCAGATATCATTGAACAAAATGCCTTGTTGCATTTTGTTATTCTCTGAAATCGTAAAGAACGCATTGCTGTATGATAAATCTAAATTACACAATATTGTTATGTACATGCAAATTTGTTTACACCTGCTGTCAAGACTTGAGAGTCATCACGAACGTCTCGGATATAAGCCAAATTCAAAACCATTTTCATCTAATCCTCCAAGCCTTCCTCTACTTTCTGTACATTTTTATAATGTTCTAGTAAAAATTTAACATTTAGGAATTCTGAGAGACATAGTTTGACAAAATGATTTTCATTACAATTGGAGACTTGGAGGAAATTATTGTTGGCATATCTACTCCCCGCACATTATTTGCAGTGTCTTAATAAAAATCGAGCATTTACGAATGTCGAGAATATATATTTTGACAAAATATTCACATGAGAATTTTGAAATTGGGATAAATCATAGGTATTCCATCTTATGCATAATATATAGTAGAAACTGAGCATTTAGGACGATTGGAATGTATATTTTAACAAAAAGAGAAAAGATATTGTAGTGGAATATATAAGTTGTTTTTTACATGTCTACTTTTCTTCTAGTTCTCCTTTATTAGTTCAATTTTCACTTTCCCTCCCTAAATCATGTAGATGGGAGCACGTTGCTCCTCAGCAGAAGTAAACTTTGTTGTAAGAGGAGATGGATTGTGTTTCTAAGGTTTATTTCGTGGCAAATAGAAATTTATCATATTGACTATGTTCAAAATATGCATATTTTGAGGACTGGCATGAAATATAAACTTACACTTGTGTCACTTGCATAATATTAAGCATCTATTCCAGTCTCATTTTTTTATAATAGATTTTGTAAAAAGTGATTTTTTTGAAGAATGTGTGTCTAAAAAGTAGGCTTGGGAATAGTTCGGATTGGGTTGGTTTTGAATTCAACCCGAAACTAAAACCGACTTGATCAGTTTGGGTAAATACCAACCCAAACTTATCCAGTTTAGCATTTGAAACCGATCCGAATTGAACCAAACAAAATCTGTTTGGGTCAGTTTAGTTTGGTTAATTGGTTTATACGCTAGTGAATTAAAAAAATTGCCTACCTATTTTGGTTTTAAAAATTTGCATTCTTATACATATATAATTTTTTGGTTGCATAGTGCATACCAATAACACACACACACACACATTAGTCTTCGCTGTTAAAGAAACTGGATAAGCATTTATTTCTTTAATTGTAATTGTGGCAGATACATTTGATAAACTGCACTAGCTTCCATCTTAAGCTTTCTTTTTGCATCTCAAATCCTGGCCAGTTATCCATGTTTGACATTACGTAATGCATTTCTTTCAGAATACATATGTTAATCTTTCATTGTTTGTCTTGGATACCTTGGATTTGTACAAGATCAAGTAAATATGCTTACAAGATAGCAAGCATGCACAAGTTACAGATGATATCTCGAATTATGGTAGAAGTTTGGTTCTCTTCATATTGCAGTTCAACCTATACAACAAATGCCACTTCTACATCTTGAGAGTCAATTGAGGATGGGTTCGCAGAAAAGATTTTGACGAGATAGAGATTCATTGAAACCTGAACACCACAAATATGATGGCAAATGGTTGAACTCAACCTGCCTCCAAATTGGATTAGATTTTGACGAGATAGAGATTCATTGAAACCTGAACACCACAAATATGATGGCAAATGGTTGAACTCAACCTGCCTCCAAATTAGATTACACGCTTGCAACAGAAGGATCCAAATGCCTCGTACTCAATTCTTGTCCAGACCAAAGACTGAACAATTAATGTCAAGAACCTGGTCTGGAGGATTGCATAATTATATTTTACACAGTATTTAACAAATACCACACAGTTCAATTTGGATTTGCTAGAACAATCTCATATCATTCTGAGTAGCAGAGTCATTTATATACAAAATTCCAAATGAACATAGCAAAAGCACACTAGACACAACAGAGATTACATCCCTATTCTTCCTTGTCGGATTCACTTTCACTTGAGCTGCTTGAATTTCCCTTCTTATGATCGAAAGCCTCAACTTGCTTGTATGCCTTGACCATTTCCTCTACCGGAATTAATGGAAGATAACTGAAGACGGTGTAACCTTTAGCAGTCATGTCTTCTACCAAACTGTTGTACTTCTCAGACCAGTGTGCAGCTGTAGGAACAGCCAGCTTAGCCACTCCTTGCAAGGCAGGATAGTGGTGAACTTTGTACCATGCGACAGCCAATTGGCTCACGGCAAAATGCTTGGACATTGTACCCGCATGTAAAATGGCAGCACATGGTCCAGCAGCCTGAGCTTCTTTCACCAAATCTTGGGCTACCCATGATGCCTTGATGATGATTGATTGGGTTTTTCTCAATGCTTTCTTGGCCAAAGGTGGAGCGCATTCGTCAAATTTGTACGTTGCTTCATCAACCTAATGTAGCGGACACTTGTATTTAGACCATGGAAACAAACAAGGAGACCCACATTTTGCCCATGAAACAAAAGTATACTACAAAAAAATTGGATGCGGACAAAAAAGGGCAGTGATGAAATGTTTAGATTTATTACATAAATTAAAGATTTTTCCTAAATTTTCAAAATTAAAAAGTAAAGGAACGAAGAAAATCAAAGAATTTATTTTTTTTTAAGGCAAAGCATTTTTAACCTGAAATAAATCTGCCAATCCTACTCACAATCATCAATCAAGGAAAATGGAAAAAACTCGAAATCCACGGATTGTTGATACTTCCATAAAAAAGGAACAATTCATTGGAGCAAATATAAGAACTACTTCACAAATATTTCTAGGATCAATGAAAATTCAGAAACAAAATTGTAGACAGATAAAAACTGTAAAACAATCGATACATATTACCAGAAACAAAAAGGAAAAGATGTTATAAAAATAATAAAGTTACCTTTTTATCAAGAAAAACAAGAACATCACCAGGAAGATCCTTGAATTTCTCGTAAACGGGGCCAACAACAGCTGTAACGGCGTTTTCTACGGTGCCGACAGTGGATTTGAGCGGACCGGAATTCTGCTTCGCGTAGTCGTATAGATTAGACACCATCACCACAGCGTTAATCGCCAGTACCCTCACAAACCTTAAATGCTTCAATTGCATCTTGCTCTCGTCCACTTCAACCTAACATCACATCAACAACAAAAGTAAAATCACAAAGTAATTATTAGAAAAGGAAAATAAAAATTGAAACCAGATCAGACTTAATTACCTTAACAGAAGCCATGTCTTGTAATCTATAACTGCTAGAGAAATTTCAAATCAAAATTTTGTCTTTTTCAGATTCAATTTTCGATCTTATTTTTGCAGACGATGTAAATAAGGGCAATGTTGTTGAAGGGAAAGGGGAACTTTATTACCAAGGAGTACGAGCGGCATAGCATTATAGGTGGAGGTGAAGCCACGTGTCAAGGTGGGGGTACGGTTTCGATGTTTCTCGAAGGACTCGTTGGTTTCTGTTAATTGATTGGTTAGAAATATCTGGAGTCCAATTAAGCACTCGTTTGGATCCCATTTTTTGAGATTATGCCTTTTTTTGAATTTCATTATTCTAAAAATTCATTTTCAATCATATATTTTTTAATAAAATAATATTTAATATAAACTCAGGGGGTATTTGATAAGTATTTTTATATAAAAATACATTTTAGAATAGTAAATTGACGTGAAATGTGTGATTGAGAAATAAGGAAAAGTTTTTTATTTACGTGTAATATTATTTTAATAAAAAATGTGTGGTTGAAAAGAAGAGATAGAAAAATGTATTTTGAAAAAATAACTACCAAACGGGGCCTCAATATTTTTTTTAATTTTTATGCATACATTCTCTATCAATCTATTATTTAAAATGCATTCCCTCCCGAAATGGGATTCAAATTAGGGCTATACTTTTTCGAATAATATTTTTTTGAAAAATATTTGGTTAAAAGAGATTTTTTTTACGTATAATATTATTTTATTGAAAAATATGTGATAGGTAAGAAAAGAGAAAAATAGATTAAATTTTAATGGGGCCATATGAGAGCTAAGCTACTCACTCCATTAAAATGAAATTCAAAGGAAAGTATGATTTAAATTAGTAATTTTTTTAAAAATGCGTGATTATAAAAAAAATGAATTTACGCATAACATTATCTTATGTAAGAATATGTGATTAAAAATAAATTTGTATAAAATATGTGTGGTTAAAAAATAAAAAAAAATTAATTTACGTATAATATTATTTTATTGAATAATGTGTGGTTGAAATGATATTAAAATACTGTTGAAAAATGTATTTTTTTTAAAAGAATGGAGCTCAAACAAGAACATAATTGCTTGAAAGTGTATCACGTTTTAATGAATTAACACAGACTGTCGTTTAGTTAATTTTTTTTTGAATTGACATTTTATCATAATTTATAAATTTGTGAATATGAATTGTATTCATAAGTTTGCATTTGTCAATATTTAAAATTACGTAATGCTTAATACACACACACACACACTTAATTTATTAAAAACTTTAGTTAAAATATTTATTATCAAATTCTTCGACAAAATTTTGAATTTCAATTTCCACTAGTATGCATACTAGAATTGCAAATTAAATTGTAATCAATTGTAAACAAATTCCATTTTTTTCCCCTTAACGACGACCTTTTAGGTATATCAATATTATTTTTCAGAATATATAACTCAAAAAGTGGTCAAGTAATGTATATAACACTCAATCCTAGAAATAAAGGAAATAACTAATATTTTTAAACACGTGAGGGGTATTTTTAATAATATCATAAATGTGTGAGTTATCCATGATGTTCATTTTTTTATTTTTTTTTTTTCTCTTTTTTATTATTGTTCCTTACGTAGATGTAAGTGTTTTCTCCTTACCGTTCAACTATGATATGATTCAAGGGAGCAAGTCCGTTGCACGAGTAATTGAAGGCACTACACAAACTTCGAGTTGATGAAGTCACAAACTTCAAATCAAATTTGCCTAGATTTCTTAAAGCTCGTTGTCAATACATTTCTAGATTGAGCTAAGCCCTTTGTACAGGATAATTTGCCAAAGAGTACCAAAATCCCAGGTGACTTGACTACATTGGATGTTGGACAAAGTACAAATTTAAACAGACTAATGCAGTGCTGACACCTAACATTTTATCAAATTGTTTGACAAATTCTTCGTACATGTAACATGATTCATCTAAATTTCAATATGATCCAATAAGAGATAATGTAAATCAAATTTAATTACTTCCAATCATTCGTCAAGCTATGTCATGACAGCTAATTTGACAAAAACTAAAAAAACGAAGAAATAAATAGCAAATAACTTATTATCCTCCAACAAAAGTGATTGATGAAATTGTATCAGTTAAAATCTCAATCTACCAGCACAGTGTGGTTTGCAAGTCTTCCTGGTAGCATAGTCCCCAAGACCATATTCTTCTTAGCCTTCATCTGTCTACTTTGATTCTTCTTTCTTTACTTTGTGGCACTGGCACAGCAGTCGAACTGACTCAACAAGCACACAGATGACTATCTATCAAAAGGATCTCCTCCAGTGTAGTTTAAACGACATGCTGCTGCATCTATTTTCGCTCGGAGATTGTATTTGTTGGCAATCAGGGGCCTTACGTCTTCAACTCTAACTAAACTTTCTAAGAATGGAAGTAGTGATATTAATTCTGTATCAGAACGGTCCTCAAACCAGCTTTCAATGGGTATTCCATTGTCCACCTGGAAACCAAAAACCTGAAAAGAAAACCGTCAAAACAAAGCTAAATTTCAGGTTTATTGATTTAAAGTGAACACATTTCCTTCAGAAGAGACCCCCCAAAGATTCAAGTAAAAATGCAAAAAACATCAACCAGGAGAAAATGATAATATAAGATTGCTTGATGCTACTATCAGATAATAACATAAACCAAAATAGTGACCTTGATTTATGCTAATGAGCAAATTAAAAGAAATTCAGCGATTAGAAGGGTGTGTATACACACACGCGAGGGTGTTTGGCTAAGCTTAAAAAAAAGAGAGTAAAAGTTACTTATTTTGAAAGTATATTACCAGTGTTGCAATGAGTAACCAATTTCTAAGTTTGACCAATAAGAAAAATATTTACTTTAGAACTCACTAATTTGCTTTTAACTTTTAAGCTTAGACAAACATGCTCCCTATTCATATAGGAAGATAAATAAGTCCATTAGTCACACATCAACTGCATGTTTGATAAAACTTTGCAAAAATTTTATCATCTTTCAACGGGTCAAACTTCTATTTTACCACATATTTCATGGGAGCCACAACTTTTCAACCACACATATATCAAAACCTTTGTCAAACAAACCCTAGGCTAAAAGACAGAATTTAACAGCTCTGATACTTAGAAGATGAGAGGAAAAATTAATCAAAAACTGTGACAGAGCAAAGTTCGGATAGCAGCAGCAGGAGCCAGCCACCATTACCTGGGGAGAGTTATCTATTATAATAACACGTGCCAAATCACGACCAAGAACGGAAAGATCTTTGAGATAATTTCCATCAACAAACAGGCAAGAATCTCGATAAACCCGATGGCGAAATATTTTCCTCTTCGGATCTAGCACATTCAGAAGCTGCTCGGCATAAATGCTTTGACTGGCAGTAAATATAATAATCTCAAAAAGACTGGAAACTCTGTCCAAGAAATCTCTGAGATAAGGACGGCATCGCACATATACTCTATGCTCCGTCTGGTCAAAATTAACAGAGAACGTGAAATCTGCATCATCACATGGTTCAAGTGTGGAGTGCACCAAAGTCTCTGTCAGGAAGAGTAACTTTGTTACCTAGTGGAATTTAAGAATACTCGCTGTATTTAAGAATAACTTAATATATTTAATATATCGACTAATTTTATATCAATACATATAATGTTTAAGAATTACTGTATTTTTTCACTCTGTCCAAATAATCCAAACCACAGGTCATTTGCAAAGTCTCCCATAAGAAGAGAAACACAATTGTGTCAAATATTTTATCAACCTCTACAATGTTTTGAAAGTTGCCATGCAAATTGAGAGCAAGTTTTATCTCCACAAGGAACCAAAACATTACTATGGAAAGGGAAATAATTCAAAGGGACTTACCGTCCAAGTCCAGGACCAGAGTTGTTGATGGACAGCTTCTCGTTTGTTTGGGTAATAGCACAGGGCGAAATGCCGGGACAATCGAGGACAGGTCAGGTAAATTCTTTATGAAAAAATATGGATCAAAATCATCAAATTCTTCACCTTCCGCATCTTCTTTACAAACATCAGCTGATATATGATCTTGATTATTTTCATCAATACATTCTAGGTTTGAATTTCTCATGGAAAGATATATAGCTGAAACTTCAGATGATAGGCCAACACCACCTAAATCTGCATAACATGAGTCCAAAACATTAGTAATGAAGGGAACTTCTGAATGCTTATAAAAACATAAAGTGCATATTCAGTACAAAGTACTTACAGGACTTCACATTATATACAAGATTCTGAACTAATTCCCAATATTGTTGAATATTATCTATTAGATTAACAGTCCCATCAAATATGCCAAAAAAAGATTTGACAGTAATTATGCTCATTATACCATGGCAATCAGTCTGTATTTTTTGTTCTCCACAGTCCTCAAGTTGATGGTTCCCATGCTGAAAGAATTTAAAGAAATCTGCTGGGGGAATCACATACAAATAGTGAAATAAACACGTGAGACAACACAGAATGCAAAGCAATATAAATAAATAAATAAAAACACTATCAATCTTGTAAAATACCTGCACTTGAAATTTCACCTCCAGTATTTCTTGTAAGATGGAAGGCAGGAGAAAATATAGTTTCCGCCACACAATGAGCAGCTCCATTATGGCCCTAAATTGACAATTGAAAAGAAATCCAACAAGTCTTATAATAGTCAAATTGAACCGCACGATAGAGAAAAAAATATCCATAGACTATCGATACATGATAATGTTCAACACAAAATTAAACCAGAATACAAGTAAAATTGAATAAACAATTCATCACGTTACCTCGTTGTCAATAAAAGCATTATTGAAGTCATGGTCAGTATCATAGCCCATACACTTATTGGAATCATCATCATCCACCAATCTGAATTTTGTATCCAAATCTGTTCCAGCAACAGGCTTTTCTATAGTCCTAGCAAGAGTACCAACTAGAAGGTACAATAGCAACATGGAAAATGTTAGTACATTTCCAAATCCAAACAATATGATATTCCCAATAATGGGTCCCTCTTGAAATTCACAGATACTGGATTTACTATTGATACAATGCTCCAGAAGTGATATAGAGAGGCTCAAATGAAGCCAATGGAACAGAGAAAAAAAAAAAATAATTCGACAAAAAAAAATTTAAATGATGAACAGAACAAATAAAAAAAAGAACAAAAGAAAAAAAAAAAAAAAAAAAAAAAAAAAAACTGATTCCTATATATATATATATAATTGCACCAATAGAATCATGAATCTGAGAAAATATAATGCTCTTGGGATAAAAGTTATGGATTGCAAAAGTTTGCAGTGAAAAATTTCAGAAATATTGATGAAGTGACACAAGATTCTTGAAAAATGACGAGGCCACTATTTCAGTACAGAAATAATTTAGGGGGAACTAAACTTCCCTCTATTTCAATATAAAAATAGTTCCACTGTAAAATTGGCAACCCAGCATCTTACGCTCCGTGACAATAAAGAATATGTTCAAGGTTGCGTACATGATATCGACTGAAAAGGTCTGCTTACCAACTTTTTTCTTCCTAGCAGAAGAAGTGATTAGCTGTGCAACTTTCTTTGGTTGAACTTGCACATTTTCAGATAGCTTCTTTTGCTGTCTTGAAACCCTTGGGCTGGCTAGTTCTCGAGAACTCCTTCCTGTTATTTTCTTCTTGGTCTGCATCTTTCATATGGGGAAGAACCTCTCACCCTGAAGATACTTATTGCCTCACCAAAATTCTTTTATAAAGATGACAATCCACACTCTTTAAGAATGCAGCCAAGCATACAGTTTCCTGTAACAGCAATAACCAAGTCAAAGCTGAGATGTTAGGTGACCTAATTTACTGGTTGTAAGCATTAGCAGGGAATAATTCAAGCAATAATGTCATCATGCCAAAAAAGGCAACATGGAAAGATTATTGACCATCTGTTCTAACTCAACAAAGCAGTAACTGCAAAATCATCAGGACCTCCAACTTATCAAAGTAAACCATGGCCACTTTATCTTAGAGAATAGCAAGGAGCCTATAACAGAATAAATACTTCCAACCATCAAATCACTAATGTTTACCACTGCACTCAAAGCCGAAGTAAAAATCTAGACTCACACCTACTGAGCATACTTGATATGTCTTTATTTTGTTTTCCTTATTCTTCGAGATTGTGCAGATAAAGTTTCATTTTAGTCCAAGCATAAGAAGCTTACAAAACAAATATAAATGAGATAAAATAGGACAAAACTTAAAAAGGGGCTAAATTAATACCCTATCTTTCTTTATTAAGCAATGCAAACAAACATATATAATTAGGAAGTGAAACATTTCCAGCAATTTTTCACTCTGATTTAGCCGTGACAAAGTGAAAATCAAAAAACACAGCCAAGACTTTAGCTTTACACGACCCACGCTTTTGCAGTATAAGTTAAATTTCGAAACCAATTAACCAGAAATTTATCACATGTAACTGAAAAAATGATTTTTCAAACAGAATTATCAAGCAGCAAGCCCCAAACTCGAAGTAATACAGAACTGCAAATACGTGATTTTAAAGCAAGCAAAACAATTTATCAAACAAGAAATACGAAGTGATAGACTGATAGTATTTAAGCTGAAAACAAGTAAAAAAAAAACCTCTTACTTGAGATTTTAATTGAGGAGATCACAAAACTGAAGCAGCTCAAAACTGTACTGTAATTCAGTGAAGTGAAAGTGATAAACCTTGTTAGGGTTTCACCATAAAAGAATTGAAAATTTCACTTTTCCCTCCAAAGATTGGATTCAGAAAAAGAGGGAACGAAGGAATCCGAAATTTGTGAATTTTTTGCTCAATTTGTCTGAAGAAATCAGCAAAAGATGTAATTATACGATAAATATTTTATTCTGCAAGGAATTTATCATTCTCCCTCAATTTACGATTTGTTGTCTGCGCGTGTATGATACAACTTTTGTCCTCGCTGAAATGTGAAATTGCAAAGAAGCCCCTTCTTTGTTGAGGATTTAAATTACTCAAATAGATCCCAAAATTATGAATAATTTCATTTGTCGTCCACATTAGTAGCAATATTATAATGTAATATATAAACTCTTACCTCAATTGAATGAAGATGATGAATCCTTTGGCATAATACTATATGAATCGTGAGAAGTCGCGATTTCTCAAGAATCTTACAATAATAATAGAGTAATAAATTTGAGTTGATTGTGCAACAACACAATTGTGAGGATAAAAATGAACAGTTCAATATTTCATTTCAAATTTAGGTATTGCGCAACTTTTTTAAGATTCATTGTTAAAAAATAGGAAATAAAATAATGGAAAAATATAAAAAAAAAAATTTATTTCTTATAATGTTCGATTGTAAAAAGAGTGAGAAATTAATTTTAAAAAGTTACTCTGACACGAAACTTTCATGATTGATCGATCCAATATTGACTACCTCCAACATGCTTGGATAAATAGATGAGGATGAATGATCTTGGTAGCATGAATAAGTTATCACTTTTGCAACTTTTTACCGAAGGAAGTAATAACGATTCTATTATAGTGTGAATAGATTTGATTTATGTTGAAAAGGAGCGGGTTGAATTTATTGAAAGTATGGGCCCTTGGGAAGAGAATCTGAAGAATTTGAAGCCACGGACCAAATAAAAATTTACTCACTGGCAAATGACGTATACAGAAGTTGGGTCCTGAATTGGAATTTGAATTAGAGGTATCCAATGCAAATCCACTAGATAGAAAAAGAAAATTAAAAAAATTAATAATTTGGATTTTATTTTTTCTTTTTGAATTGACTCACTTGTTATTAAGTGCTTCCTTGGAAAAAAATTTGTTTCCTGAAAAAATGACCAAACTATATTTTTACTCTTACATTTAATTGAATTCAATGCTTTATTCTTTTTAATTACAAAGTTTACTAGACGTATCAGCTTTTATCAATTTTTAATATAACACGACCCTAAGCGAAAGGAAAATCATAGTGATTAAGAAAAATGATATTCAAGTTGTTAGAACTCCGACACTTATAATTCAAAGGAAAATGCACTTCAAATTTTCTTGGGTAGTGTTATCATTGACCATTTGATGTAGGCATGGATGTATTGCAAGAAAATAAGCAGTATCTATCGAGTAAAGGGACATTTTGTTGCGATGATTCCAGTGGGAATTGCGGGTACTTGCCATTGCATGAGTGGCACACACACTCTGAACTCTCTGTCTCGAGCACTAGATGTTGGAGTATAATACCTTTGCTAGCGCGATTTGCACTTCTGATTGGTGAATGATTTTCTTACCTTCTTTCAAAGTCTAGTCCCAAAAGAGGGGGAATTTTCTGCTAGAGCTATGCTTGCTCGATGTTAGGATAGGATGTGGCTGCAAAGAAAGATAGACTTAATGTGCATTTAATTCTCTATATATTTTTTCCCGACGTGGCAAGTGTCATCAATCCTTACGTTTAATAGAAAATACATTTTATTTTACTAGCAAGTCTAAGGTTTTGGCCACTCCATAACTTGTTAAGATGAAACCCCAAATTGTCATCTCAAAAAGCTCAAACGAGCATTTGAATGCCCATGACTGAAGAGGAAGATCTTTCAATTTCTGTATTTTTCCTTCAAAATGAAGCAAACAAAAACTATTGACAAAGCAGAATTAACTCTAAAGATACTGTACCAACTGAAAACAAAGCAGAATTATTCATTTGTAGATAAATTTTTTATTACTATCGAAAATTTTTGTTCTTGTTTCTCCTCTGTCACGACTCATGGAAGTTGTAGGGTCATTGTTCATATCCTATGGTGAAAAGGGCCCCGAAAATGACGAGACAACTGAAACTGTGTCATCTCTAAGATGCGAACCGAAGCCTGTTTGAGCGTAAATCCTTTGTCTTCGTGATTTCTTTCCTCCTGTAGATGAGTTGACGTTAGTTGATCCCATCTGTTGTATGCTGAGGGAAACCTTTCGATGCAAGGGGCTAGCGTTGCCAAAAACTCCATTCACGCTTCTATCTGATAGACGTCGATTACTAGTGCTTGGCCTTGATCCAAAGGGAATGTCTTGCTCAATGTTTACTTTACTCTGGACCTTCTTCAGTTCCTGCAGGGAAGAAACAACCTCGTCAAACTCACTCAACAAGGGTACAAAATACTATAAATAAGATTTTAACTTCTTTTTCTTCCGCCTGTTTGACACCCATTATTTTGGATGGAAAACAATGTTTTCAACAGAATAGTTAGCCTTTGAAGAGTGACACGTAGTTTTATTACTGGAATGGTAAGTTGTACTTTAAGGCAATATCGTTTTTTTTTTCCAATCTACCCTCCAATGCATTTGAACAATTAACCACATCTTACAAGGGCAATGTTGAAATTTGCCACGTTGTAAATGAGGGCATGAATGGAAAACCAGTTTCCAACGAGTCTTAGCCCTGAACCAAAAGTTACTGTAAGTCAGGTGGTAGGTAATTTTTAATTATTATAATATCATTGAAAAAATTTGAAACTCTTTAAAATGCCAAAAGAGCGTCAAACAGACGCTAATACCATACAAAAATTGTCAATTGTTTCTACAAGTATAACGAAAGAGGGACAAAACGATACCACTCACCCTTTGTCTTTGTTTCTCCTCTTCCTTTTCCTTCTTCAGCATATTGTACTCTTCCAGCATTGCCAATAGAGGAACCTAGTGTCACACAAAAAAATGAGGTTCTTTAAATCAAATTAGATAGGTTCGTAGACTTTCATGTGAAGACGATTGTCGATTTCTTTATCTTTTCTTTCTTTCTTCTTCCCAGCTCTTAGTCTTGGATATCAGCAAATCCACCAAAGCTGTCAAGTAAAATTGAAAGAATTACACGTGCTAGGCATAGAAAATTGGTTCTCAAGCCCAATTATTAACTTCGAAAAAATTCGTTTTTCACCTGGTATCTTATTAACCATTATTCTTGCACGTTCTGCTCTTTTGAGGTTCTTGTGAGCACCTCTGCTGACTGAATAACGGTTCTCATCCTGAAACAATCCATGGAATAGGCATCGTGTTAGAGATTAATATTAAATTAGACTCGACTAAATGAGTATATAAACCGGGATGAGAATCTCACCCTGTTATAGTCTTCCAGCCATCGCTCCTCATCGCGTGCTAAGATCCATTTTTCAACTTTTTCCATTATGGCCTTCCGGCTAAAAGCTTCTTCTTCTGCTTTGGATATCTGTTCATCCATGCTTGTGAGGAGATCGGCATGGTCAATCTCCCCTTTTCGTACATCATAATTAGTCCAAACAATTGTATCATATCAGAAAATGCTAGCAAATCCTTTCAAGAGAAAGTTAGTCTAACCAGAATTTAGTTGGTTAATTATTTTCTCCATTTCTGATTTAGAAGGAATTTCCATGTGCGATCGACTGCAGATTTCCTCGAGCTCAGCCTGTTTTTTGAAGAAAAACTCTTTCATTTTGCTCGCTTTTAACTGATCCAGCCTATTGACTTCAGCTTCCACCTTGTAAAAATTTGCAATAAATTTCACTTACGGAATTCGAGCTCTGAAGAAATCTCATTTGAACTATAACAACAAACCTGCTGCACTATGCTGATAGTTAGGCCTCCGGGAGTGAATATCTCAGCCGATGAAATTGATGACAAACTAGTGACGTGAAAGAAATGTTGACGGTCTTCACTAGGCGTGTCCATGAGATTCCACAGGTTGGCCAACGCTTTACCAAGTTGTTGAAGCTGCAATAGTCACATTAAACACGTAATTTTAAATTCTAGTATTATTCATTGCAGTTGTATTGTATCTCAATATATTCTGCTAAACATTTATGATAGAAGCTAAAGTCTTGTTAATTGTATTATCGAGTCTTGTCATACTGTTCACAGCTGTTGCTGGCCAAGATGCATGGATTAACATGCAAAAACAGCACAAAAGATTGGTAAAATTTACCCTCTCCAGGCGCATATGCTTTTCTGCTTCAAGCGAGTTGACAGTGCTGTCGAGCTTCTCCAGAATACCATCGCTGATGTTCTTTGACAGCCCTGATAACTCATTAAGGCTCGGGTGTACTTTTGTGATGATCTGGGAAGAATCCATTCCTAATGTGGCTGCCAAGCTCTGGATGATGCTTATATAATTCTCCACTCTTCGGAGTCTGTCACTCTGATACAAGTACCAAAAAAAAAAAAAAACGAAAAGAGAGAAGTTAAAATCCTTGTTTTGATCAAATCTCATTTCTTTTCGATCCCTGGATACACAAACTGATACAAGCTGCAGTACCTTTTCAGCGTGAAGTCTCTCGAGCTCATTCTGATACTCCTCGAGTTTCTTTAATGAAAGATCATTCTCATTTACCGCAACATTTGAGAATGAATCATTATATACCGGCTGACCTGCTATTTCTGCTGAAATCTTTTGAATTTGTCCTTGTACCACTCGGAATTGCTTTACTCTATCTTCTCTTCTAAATTGCATCTCTTTTAGAGCAGGGCTGATTGATTTTAGCTGTTCCTTTAGTGTTCCAGTCATTTTCTCCGGCTGTCATTAAAAAGGTACTTGAATTTACGTTAACAACAATAATATATGGAAATGTCATATATTAATTTCATTCTAACTCCATTTACAGCAATGATCTTGGCAGAAATCAGCCTCAAAGTTTTCTTCTTTAACTAAGACAGTTACTTCTGTTCCTTAAAGATTAACCTAGTTTATGTTCATTGTTTTTATTCTGACTTTCTACACTAATTGGTCAATTTCACGTGTACTTGCAATGCCTTTTAATAAATGATCAAGAACTTACACGTCCGGGGAGTGATCTCTCACCAAGTGACAGAAGAAGATGTGTAAATTCGGCCTCAGATTCAGCCAGTTGTTGATGTAGTCGAGCTCGTGAAATGTTTGCAGTATCTACTTTCCTTCTATAAACTTCCAGGCATTCTTGTTCTAATTCCAGTAGAATCTTTTCCCTTTCAAATTTATCTTCTCCGACTTCATCCCATATCATCTGCTAGTCGTATACAGGAAGCCATTCAAGAGATGATCAGATCAGTAAGAAAATACTGATAGCATGTTTAGAAAAGTGAATTAGACATAATTATTTCACACTATTAAATAAGAAAAACAAATTAACATATGTTATTATGTTCAATGCGATCAAATGCTGCATACAAAACATGCACTAAAGAAAAACTTGCCTCTAACTCTTGTAGCAAATATCCACACGATGTCTCAAGCAATGCAGAACTTCCTGTTCCATTCAGTGCTTGGAAGGACCCCATCGAAGGAGAAATCGGGTTTTCCAAGCAAGAAATTAGAGGTTTTGAATTCCTAGAGGAGTTTAAAACAAGAAAAAGAATTTTAGGTGGGGGCATTTGGGGGTGAAGTTTTGCTTAAAAGATAAGGCTGCACAGGTAGATGACAGTGAGACTTTGGCTTCAAGGGTTCCCTGTTGCTTATGATTCTTGAGGTTCCATTTCTACTTTGTTTGAGTCATGCAAAATTTGATGGTTTTCATGTGTTTAGTGTTGTAGCTTTCTTATCACTCTTTAATGCTTTCAGCAGAACTTGATTCCCAAGCAATCTCTCCACAAAAGTGGTTTCCATTAATATGCACGTCCTCAAGAATGTACTGTTTTATTTGTGCAAAGTAACAAACTTTTAGCATGGGCTTCCTCAAGAATGTACTGTTTTATTTGTGCAGAGTAACAAACTTTCAGTATGTTTAGGAATGTGGATTGTAGGCTATTCGACAACACTAAGAAAGAAAAATAATATTTTTTGTTCATTACAACCGTGTAGTGACAATGAGATTTAACCATGCCCATCAGCAATTCGCCCATGTTCACAAAGTGCATCAACATACTGTTGAAGTTTGCAGTGCAACAAGGCATTGCACACGAATGACAAACGAGGTTGAATGTCAATGTTTGTTTATCCCATCAAGCACCATACACAAGCAATTGTTGTTCCAAGCCAACAAATGCCACAAGCAATGTGTTTTGACCAAATCAAAAGGTGTTTTTTAACATTGCGTAGCAAATATATCCTAAATATCTTGATATTAGGTAATAACAATTAATCACTGATTATCCCATTCTTCTTACATTGATGGAAAAGCTATTGATAATTTTCTTGCATTCATAATGATAATTAGAAAGGTAATATGAGGTTTATGACCAGATTCTATTTGTTATCATATGATAATTTTTGGTTTGAGCTTTTGGCATCATAATTAAAGTAAAATTTAAGTATATCTTATCCAAAACATGACCTTCCACCATGTTCACCTTTCTTTAGTGCTCAAAAACAGATTATTCACTTTGCTCTTTGCAAGGTCTAAATTCTATATGTCGTTAGGTGTCCTTTCTTCATCATAAATTTTGTTAGGTGGCAAGTTAAGTGAAGGGATAGGCCATATCCATATCATGTCATTTTGTCATAGAAATTAAGTGCAGCGTTTGCGATAATTTACATTGTAATTACGTTTGAGCTCGTCTGATATAAAGTATTGAACAGTACTATCCTAAATAGTATTTTAACTTTCATTTTTAATTTACGGCCCGTTTGGTAGGGATTTTGAGAATTGATTTTTTGACCGTTAGAAGAAAAGTGGGGTCCACATGTGAGATAAGAAGTCAAAAATTACTGCTTGAATAGTAAAATAACGATCAAAAAATCAATTTTTTGGGGTAAAAAATCCCTACCAAACGGGGCCTTAATCTAATACATGAATCAACCTTTTTAAATATATCCTCTCTCTTTTTTGGAATCAAATATACGATGCATTATTTACTTTTGTAAGCTCATCCTCATCGTACCGTAGGAATTCATAGTTAAATATACCCCAGTTACACCATAAATATTTTATACTTCTATTTCTACTATTCATAAGCCAAAAAATAACTACTAAATAATTTTAAAAAAAAAATTTGAAGGTAAATAATATAAAATATTATATATTATAGCACTTGGTACAATATTGCATACCGAATAACTTATCATAGTTTTCCTCAATTGAAGAAATGGAGAAATTAGTGGCATAATTTTTCCTTAGCAATAGCAATAATAGTGGAGAACTATTACGGATAAAAATAGACTGATGTAATTCTATAGATATATAGCACATAGTGGATTTTTTTGTAGAATAATGTTATTAAGAAAATCATCATTTATTTATGTACCAGAGATATTAGGGATGGCAACGGAGCGAGTTCGGGTTGGAACAACCTCCCCAGTCGAGTAATTTCCGTTCCCATACCCGACTTGTTACCTTTTTAAAGTGGGGTGGGGCCCTTGCCCCATTTAGTATCATTTTTTAAAAAATTTATAATTTATTTTATTGTCCCCTTTAAGTAAAGAGAGAGAATGATATGGTTATTAAATTTTTTAATTAATTTATTTATTTTAAAGTTAAATTATTCAATTATATTTTGTAAACTAAGATTTTTATTGTTATCATATTCTTTAGATAATCTTACTTGTCATCTTCCATTAGAATTAATAAATTTTTTTGTGAAATATTCCATCTTGAAAAAAAGGGGGCAGGGCCCTGTTACCCATACCCATGTTGGGCGGAAATCCCCCACCCCATTCCTAACCCGAATATCCAATTAAAGTGAGAATTAATTAATTTATTTTTAAAGTTAAATTATTAAATTATATTTGGCAAACTAAGGGTTTTATTGTTTATCATATTTCTTAGATAATCATAGTTGACACCTTCCATTAGAATTAATAAAATTTCATGAAATTTTCCATTTAAAATATTGATTTTTTTTTTTTTTAAGTTAAACGGGATTGGGCCCCCTATTACCCATACCATATCGGGGAGAAATCCCCCACTCCATTCCTGACCGAACACCCAATTAAGTGGGTGAACGGGGCGAGTTCCACGGGTATCCTGTTTGACAGATTTTTTTATTTTTTTTTTGCCATCCCTAAGAAATACGGCTGTAAGATCATTGCACAGTGTCCCCCATTTTGATTGGATTAGAGCAATTTTTTGGGCCAAACCTCAACACAAGTTGGGGACTTTTTGGATTCACTAAAATCAAATTCACCAATTTTGTTCATTTCCCCATCTTTGTTGCAGATTTGTTTTCATTTCTCCATTGATATCTAGATCTGGAATTTTCATACTTATAAGGCGTTACACGCAAATTAAGCAGCAATGGTGGTACAAGGTAATAGTCGTGGTGGTGGTTGCGATGGTGATCGGATGGAGTTTGGATATTGAATTTTATGATGATGGCGAGATAGTGGTGTAATAATGTTAAGTTATAGTTTTATTAAAATTACACACTATAACACCAATAACACATTATATATGTTAGAATTTTAAAAAAATTACTCTATGACATGAATCAAGTGTAAATTAACAGAGTCTAAGTGTAACTTATTAAAATTATTTGCTCAAAAAAATATAGAAAATTACATAAAGTGAAAAAATTACATACACTACAACAAAAAAGCAACATATTTGAAGTTACACCTGATTTTTAAAATACTTTTTAGTTTACCTAATTTTTTTTTTTTTTTAAATTGACCCCCTAAATGTTTGTAGTTGTGAAATTAACAAATATATTGAACCACAACACTTCATAAAAGGACACACCTTTTGAGCTAAACTTTACAGCCCAAAATGATTGTATTTTACTAGGACTTAAAGCATAGTGAAAATTACATAGAACTAGATTGTTTGAGTTACCATTTCAAAAATTAGAATTAAAGTTTGTTTGTACAAAAATCAGATGATAATTCAATATTAATAATAACATTATAAAATTAAATTTATCAATATAACTCCCTACCTTCATCTACCTCGTCCAATTTCATTCTCAAACCCGAAATCTTTTCTAATTTTTCTCTCCCTATCTTTTATCTACTCTCTCTCCCTTCTCTCTATCACCTCTCTCTTTCTTGAAACACCAACATTGATCCGAAAAATGGTAGCTGTGCTTTTGGTCGATCTGAGAATGGAAGCAACGTTGGTTTGAGTGTCCTAGCGTGTTCATAGCGCCATTGTGAGGCATTGATTTGTGCGGTGCTTGCCATCATGGAGTTATGGTGTTTGTGTAAGTGTTTTGATGGTGGTGGTGGTGTAGTGTTGGTTAAAGCTATGGTGGCGTTGGTATTGTAGTGGTAGCGATGGTGGCAATAGTGGTAATGTCAACAGTGTTGGTGTGTTCGTGGCGATAGTTGGGATGGGGGTGTTTGTGATAAATTATTTGGTTGATTGTAAAAAAAGAAAATGGTTAATTTGTAACTAATAAATAATATGTAGCCTAAAAAATGTGATCGCAACTTACAATTTATTAAGTTGTGATCAAGAAATAACTTGTGACCAATTAATTTGATAATTTGTGATCATGAAATGAGTTGTGACTTATAAAATTTATAATTTTTGACCGATGAATAAATTATGATCTATATTTTATTTTTTATTTGTAACCCATAAAATTTTTTATTCATGACTGAGAAATAGTTTGTGACCAATTAATTTGATAATACCAAATGGTATATAATTGTGCCTTTAATATATTTTTAATTATTTCATAAATAAAAAGTAATTAATATCTTATTTTTAAAATTTTAAACTTTATTTCATAGTTTTAAAATGGGTCATATTCAATCCCCTAGATATAAAATTTTCCATAAAACATAATTGAGTTCCTTTAAATAGTCCGTTTACTTTGGTTCAAAATTGATATTATGATGAACTCAGACCCAAGTATATGCATCTGTTGTTTTTTGTTTTTTTTTTGTCGTGTGAAGGCAATTTCCTTCATTAACAATAGGGACTCCACTGCCACGAGAGCTCACCGTCATTAAAAATAAATAAAAAATTCTGTGTGCTTTGTTAGAGACCACACATTTGTTTAAATCTTTTGTACACGTTCGAAGGATTCACCTTGTCCATCTATGCATTGTATGGAGCATGGAATGATGAATTTGAAGTTTTAATTTAAGAAATTAATACTAAAGTAACTCAGTTTCATGTCTAGTTAAGCAAGACATTTTGTCCTTACATAAGTGTAAGACTATAAATTATAGTTAGTTCCTGTTTGAGCCCTATTCTTTAGAAAAAATACATTCTTAAATGATAATTTGATATCATTTACATTCTTCAATAAAATAATATTACATGTAAATCCAAATTTTTTACTTAATTTATAATCATACATTTCCTATCAATACACTATTAAAAAATACATTTTTATAAAAAAGAATGGAGCTCAAACAAGAGATTACATTCGCATTGCTACTTATTTAAATTTCCTCTCAATAGTTTTCACGGTCGAAAAATAATTCATCAACTTTCGACTTTGTTACACGAAAGACTTTGTTCAGTACGTTTTTAATTGTATCATGGATAAAATCATTGTCATGCATGCTCCCCACTTTGAGGCAACAAAGAAGCCACATAAGATTGGGCATCCATGTGGAGCTCTAATAGAGCCATATAGGATTGCTCATCCACATCTTA